CTGTTTAAAATACCCAGCAAAAAGATCTCTGGTTTCCAGTCTACGGGTTGGTCTATTATTTCTTCGATCCATCTTCTTATTTTAGTCCAGTATTTTTTCGCAACTGGGCATGTCCACCATAAATGATAATATGTTCCATGTACTTTTTTACATTTCCAACATGTCGGCGAATTGTTCTGGAACATCTTGGCAAGCTTTGTTGGTGGAAGATGCCATCTGTAAAACATCTTCAAGCCTATCGTTTTAAGCTGACCAGAGTCGCCTTTTCGGGGAGAATGGACAGCATATAAATTTAATACATAAATAAAAACAAATAAATATTATTACATAAATATTAATGGGTCGTAACCTGAAGTTTTCAACTTCCCGAATCTGTACTTTTTAAAGGTGCTGCAAAAAATACATCTGCAGCCTCTCACCATTTTAACAAAAGACTGTGATGTGGGGATCACTGGATTACAAGATCAAATATACTCAAATAACTCTGGATCAGTTCAGCCCATTCTTTCTCTCAAGAGGAAAAATTGGAGGAGACAGTATTATGCAAACTGCCTTGTTTCAGGAGCAAAGGACTGCTGTAAGTCTAACAACCCATTAATATTTATAGTGCAAAAGATGTTGAAAGATTTCTTCCTTTCCTCTTCCTGTTGAGTGTCTCCAGAGAAATCATCTGCAGAACATAGTTAAATGCCTTATGAATGACAGGCTGCTGGCAAGCTTTTCATGAAATTCTTGAATTTCACATGCTTAGGCAAGAGAAAGATAGCAACAATGAGGGGTCCTTGGTTCCCTCTGAGCTTGCTTGTTCTCTTGCAGACTAATCAAGGAGAGAAGCAATCTGGAACTAAGGAGAAAATTCCTGACAATTAGAATAATTAATCAGTGGAATGATTTACCTCCAGAAGTTGTGGGTGCTCCAACACTGAAGGTTTTTAAGAAGAGATTGGACAGCCATTTGTCTGAAATGGTTATAGGGTCTCCTGCCTGAGCAGAGGGTTGGATTAGAAGACACCCAAGGTCCCTTCCAACTCTTGTTATCATGTTATTTCCAATTATACCTTCATGTCAGCAGCATGAACTCATCGGCTGAAGGTGTTTTACTGTCTTAGGCTCCAGTTGTAAGGTCAATGGGAAAGTGGACCAGTGCTTCTCTGCCCAAAATCGAAGGATTTCCTGCTTGAGCAGGGGGTTGGACTAGAAGACCTCCAAGATCCCTTCCAACTCTGTTATTCTGTTATTCAGACGTTTCATTACTCAAACTAGGTAACATCATCAGTGTTTGGGTAATGAAAAGTCTGCAAGAAAGCAGCCACGCTCGGAGAGCATCAAGGACCCCTCATTTCAATCCTGAGCTGTAAATATTCTGTTTTAAAGACGGACAGTGGTGGAAATACGGGTGGGTTTTGGAGCCAGCTCCAGAGATATCAGAACGACGACCCGGTCAGGAGGTGAATTGGGGAAATCCTGACAAAACCACTTGGTAACCCAGAGGACTTGAACACCTATTGCCAAGCTCAGAATGGTGGCGGAACAGACGATACATCTTACGCCACCGTTGTAGGTTAAAAACCGGAGGGCACCCAACCCAGTAATCCCCCCATCCCCCGAGTTCCAAAATGCTTTTAGTCTGATCGTGATCTCTGGAGGAAGAGAAGCCGAAACCAGGTGAGGTACTTTACCTACTAGGAAATCGGAGATGGCCAGGTTCAGGAGGAAGTAATTGTTCTGCGTCCTCAAGCTGGAGTCCACCACAAAGGCCAGCATCACCAGTGCGTTGCCCACCACCGTGGCCACGATCAGCAAAGCCATCAGCACCGCCAAGGCGATGGTCCAGGTGGTGGAAAACTGGCCGGAGAGACCGGCGCCCGGCGCGTCGGCGAGACTCTGCGAGCCGTTCGGAGCGAGGGCGCCCGGGGAGCTGTCCATTTCAGCACCCTGCGCTTCCACGGCTCAAACGCCCGGGCGAAGTCGCGGCGCCATCTCTCCAGCAAGGAAGGACCCGGGACCCTGTTGGGCTAGATATTATTCAAATGTATGATAGCCGGCCAACTCCAAGGGACTCTGAGGGGCTCTAGGTGGCGGGACTTGCCTCTCCCGGACGGAGGGAGTCAGAGACAGCCGCTTCGGCATTGCGCCCTTCGCCAGCTCTTCTTTCCAAGTACCAGCCGATCGGCTAAGGCAGCGTCGATCTTAAGCGGTTGATGTTCTTTCTCAAGTTCTTAGTGAAATCGTAATAACAAGGATCACGATCATAACGATAAGGGTGTTTTTTTTTCCCCCTCCCCGTTCTGTTGCTTTCCGATTCTTTCTCCCGGTGACACTGTAGGGTTGGGTTTTTTTTCTCCTCCTGAAACTCAGCCTTTCCTTCCTCCCACTTCTTCTCCTGACAGGGGAAAAAAGAGGGAACGGCAGGAGTGGAGGAAAGGGAGCGGAGGGGTGTGAGTGGGGGCTGACTCTACTGTTTGCAGCAGCTGCTTTGCTCAGCGTCGGAAGTGACTGACTCCTCCGGGCCAAAACGAAGAGTTTTCTCAAAGGGTGGAGCCAAGTTGCTTCTCAGCCCAGGGGGGGAAAAAATATTTGCTGGGAATTTAGGCTGTGATTTCGGACTCCTGAGCACAGTGTCAGGTTGAGCAGTCATTGGCCTCTCAGCCAGCTTCAGAGCCAGCCACTGCTCCTCTCTCTTCCCATCTGCTCCCTTATTTCTGCCTTTCCAACGTCTCCCATCGAGCTTCAGGCAAGCAGCAGGAGCAAGTCAACCAGTGGGACCGGTCTGTTTGCTTTGGGATAAGGTTGATGAATTGATCAAGAGGCCCACGCAGGAAAAAAAAACCTGATTAGAGGAAATAAGATCTTGTAATCTCATTCAGGACTGTGAATGCTTAATATCAGCTCCTGAATGAAACCCTACAGACAATCAAATAAGCCATAAGCAATTTAACAGCCTTGGTCTGATTATATGCTTAGCCACAAGGAACTTAAAAGAAGTAACACTAACCATGTTTAATACATTGTGCCAATGTCTCTTTTCAATACCTCAATCAGTAATTTGTGTCAACACAGTCTGCTTATGTGTGGGTGTATATGTGCGGAATAACAGAATAACAGAGATGGAAGGGACCTTTGAGATCTTCTAGTCCAACCCCCTGCTCAAGCAGGAAACTCTATACCATTTCAGACAAATGATTGTCCAGTCTCTTCTTGGAAACCTTCAGTGATGGAGCACCCACAACTTGTAGAGGCAAGTTGTTCCACTGATTAATTGTTCTGTCAGGAAATGCACTTATGAGTGATCACTGTTCAAATCTCCTGAAGTCTCAGCCATTTGAATTATATATAGCACTTATAGTATCCAAAGAGCATTGCGTGTTTAATCATATCAGGTAAAGAAGCAGTAGATTCATTCCTGCAACATGTTAAGCTTGGTTAGTGGTTATCATATATGTGTGTGATGTATTTTTGGACCTGGGCCATTTGATTAAGTTGTAGTTCAATTAGTTTTGCAAAACCAGAAACTGTATGAATTCAGTAATCAGGATTAAGTGTGTATAAGATTATACATAGGTGGAGAAAATAGATAAGGATTTGTTTTCTACTTTACTGTATCCTGAAATTAGAATTAAAGAATTAGGTCTACCACATCTGGGCTGAAAAAAGTCTGGACCACTAGTAGATTGCAGTAACAATCTACTCAGAAAACTGTAAAATATATTTATTTAGCAAGTAATTTAAAAGGAAAAAGAATAAATTACAACAATAGAAACCAAGAGCGTGGGTGTTTGTGTGTCGCACATACTCCAAAAACATCTACATTAAACATAATGTCAAGGTGAATTCCTTTAAAATGTTGCAACCCCCACGGCCTGCCAGAAATTTATTTTTTTTATATTCTGCACTCCAGAAAAATAGAGAAATGGTCTTGTGTGACATTCACTCCAGGATTGAAAGAATGCTATTATATCCTTAGAAGTTGTTGAGAATATTCGTAGCTCAGGCTGTAGGTTTGGCAGCTTGCTGTTTAGCTCCATCAACAAACACATCGACTTTGAACCAGCATATGAACCAATAAGGAAACAGACCATCTGAACCACCAATCAGTGACAGAACTGACCATCCCCTCACCAGATGAATTTCATGCCCCGCAACCAGTCACTTCACCCAAAACCTTGCTGAAGATGTTACCAAGTTTGATAATGAAACATCCGGGAGCTAAAAAAGCAAGCTCAGGGAACAGACCACTGCCAAAAAGCTATTATATCCTCTCTCACTCTTGTAATGCTTGAAGCATGAAAGCTGACAAGACTCAAACATGAGTCTTCCTTCAAATTTGCCACTTTCACCTAGCTCTTCCTAACAGATTTTAGAAGAGCCAATTCGACTCAGAGAAATTCAATGGTGAAAAAAGCAAGGTTCTACATTTAGGCAAGAAAAACCAAATTCACAGGTAAAGTATAAGTGGTACCTTGCTCAGTAGTAGTAACTGTGAGAGGGCTCTCGGAGTCCTAGTGGACAATCACTTAAATATGAGCCAGCAGTGTGCTGCAGCTGCCAAAAAAGCCAACACAGTACTAGGCTGCATTAACAGAGGGATAGAATCAAGATCACGTGAAGTGTTAATACCGCTTTACAATGCCTTGGTAAGGCCACACTTGGAATACTGCATCCAGTTTTGGTCACCACGATGTAAAAAAGATGCTGAGACTCTAGAAAGAGTACAGAGAAGAGCAACAAAGATGATTAGGGGACTGGAGGCTAAAACATATGAGGAACGGTTGCTGGAATTGGGTATGTCTAGTTTAACAAAGAGAAGGACGAGGGGGGACATGATAGCAGTGTTCCAATATTTCAGGGGCTGCCACAAAGAAGAGGGAGTCAAGCTATTTTCCAAAGCGCCTGAAGGCAGGACAAGGAACAACGGGTGGAAACTAACCAAGGAGAGAAGCAACCTAGAACTAAGGAGAAACTTCCTGACAGTTAGAACAATTAACCAGTGGAACAACCCGCCTCCAGAAGCGGTGAACGCACCAACACTGGAAGTTTTTAAAAAGAAACTGGACAGCCATTTGTCCGAAATGGTATAGGGTTTCCTGCCTGAGCAGGGGGTTGGACTAGATGATCTCCAAGGTCCCTTCCAATTTTATCATCATCATCATCATCATCATCATCATCATCATCATCATCATCATCATCATCATCATCATCATCATTATTATTATTATTATTATTATTATTATTATTATTATTATTAAGGTGATCTCAAAGACAGGCAGGCATTAAACTGTGTTGAGTTCTAAAACTCGATTAGCAACCAATTGCAACTCTCATAATCGTGATGTTCTGTGAATGAACATGAGCATTCCCAGAGCTGCTGAGGCATATGGTCCACCACCTCAAGCTTGCAAATAGTCCTCAAGGGTTGCCCTATGAAGAACAAATTGCAGTAGTCCAGTTCTGAGGTGATAAGGGCATCATTCAATGAGAGCAACATGTCTATTTCCAGAAAATGTCCGCAACTGGTGCACAAGATGTAATTGTGTGAGATTCACCTTGCTACTACCTTCACCAGCTATTAAAATAGGAGAGGTGACTTCAGAACCTCTAGCTTTTCAGCCATCTCCAATCAGGGAAGGAAAATTACTTTTTGGGGAATCAAAGAAGGATTCTGATCAAAGAAGGGTTCTTTAATTTTGTTTTATTTTAGTATTATTATTCTTCCTGTTAACTACTTTGTCACTAATATAACCTATAGAAGACAGATAAATAATTTGCAAAGTAGATTTAGTAGTTTAAAGAGGGCCTGTTTCGCAAGGGGTGGGAACTAATGCTGTAGTAATGTATTAATCAGTATTCAGCTAGAAGGGATAATATGTTTATATGTGGTGGGGTTTTTTTGATGCACCTTTTTTTATAATGTTTTGATTGTTTTGTGCTTTTGTCCTTTTTTTGGCTTTTTTATATTTTGTATTTTAATGTTGTCTTGAAATACATACATACATACATACATACATACATACATACATACATACATACATACACACACATATATATATATATAAAGAAGGATTCCAGAAATAATTAGCTTAAAAATCCACAAGTACTCCATCTTGCTGGAATCTGATCTAAATCTGTTTCTCCCCGTGCACACAACATATTCCACAGGCAGGGCTTTTTTTGTCATAGAACGCCCAGAACGGAGTTCCGGCACCTTTTTTGGATGGAACCTTGTAGGGTAGGCAAGACGGGTTGTATGACATGTGTGAGTTTCGGTACTTTTTTTTTTTTTTTTTACAAAAAAAGCACTGGCCACAGGTATATAACTGCCTATCATCAGCATGGTGTGTCAGGTGAGCTCAATGTCATGTGTCTGATTAATGAAACACTTAAAAGGACTTTCAGGCATATTTTCTCCTAAAAGCATTTATTAAGGTTACAGAGACGTCAGTACAGCATGATGGAAGTGCTTAGGTCTGGCTTCTTTTCCTGTACGCATATACATTCTAAGCATTTTCCCCCCCCCCTATTTTGGGGTCATGGTTCACATCTTCCAATCAACTTGGAAGATGTGATTTACTTCCGGTTTCTTTTTCCCGGGCTATCCTTATTATTCTCCTCCCTTTTTCCCTATTTGCAGCGTTGACACTCAATCCATCTCAATCCATATTTCTATGTATTGTATGAACAACGAGAAATGATTAATTAGGAATCCTGCTGTACTGTTCAAATTAGTCAACTGCACAACCAGGATCTGAAGCCAGTTTTTCAAAATTAATTATATCAAATATGCCAGCAAAATGCATTGATATTTTTGAGAAGTTTCAAGGACACCAGGTCATGGTCAATAGCAAAGAGTAGTTTTTGAGAACGTCCATTGAACTAACATATTAACATTCTGTTTGTTTCTTTCAAGGCATTTTCCTCCACTTCCTCGT